GTAAGCCTATTAATGCAGGATAGTTAACCCCTGCACATACAGCATTCATTATGAACAAAACACTTGTCTTTCAGTAGGTACAGGGCTCTCACTGACAAGGATCTCCAGTGACCTAAGTTTTATATATAAACAAGAAACTTGCAATAACTTGGAAACAAGACAACATTGACATATGATACAAGACAAGGCCGTTCAGAATAGAGTAGAGAAGAAGCTCCACACAAACATTTCATGTAGAAAAGATTTGCAGAACCTCCTGTATTTCCAATGCTGGTTGTATAGTCCGGAACAGAATTCATTCTCTACATATGAAAACTTTAGGTTCTAAAGATCTTCTTTGACACTAGCAGCCCTGTACTGTAACTAATAATACATATATATACACACGTTTTTCAAGTTTTGCCAATTGCTGAATTATTTTTACTACTCTATTTGAAAGTTTCTTCATTAGTAGGAGGTCACCTCATCTTTCTGTTTTACTATGAAAAACAGGTCGCTATTTTAAGCTAGTAACAGATTCCACTGTAAATAATTTATTTTTCCATTCTACTATCTTCTCCTACCAGAAGATTTTTTATTTTAACAAATGAAGGGGGGAGGGGGCCAAGGGCAGACATGAGGTAATGAACAGGAACACACCTGATTTGTATACAAAGGAAATTCAGGGAGTTATCACTGTCCAAAGTCAATTAAAAATATAATTCACAAAGCATGAGCAATGTATACCCATAGTTGAGCTTACTGTGCAACACAAAAGTAACAGAACAGATTAATACTTGAACATGAATGTGCTCTCCAAGTTTTTCACAGAATAATAAGCCTTCCTAAAGTCAGTATTTTCCCTCTCAATTTAAAAAAAGTGCTGCAATACATAAAGCCATATCTAACACGAGCTGGAAAGCTAGGTTCTCAGAGAATACTGACCAAAACAGAGCAGATCAATTTGAGTATTTCTAGGAGTAGAATTTCCAGATACAATCAAATTAGACTACTAGGTTTCTGATGCATGCTAGAAGTGAGTTCACTAAGCACTCTGTTACACTGTTGGACAGAGAAAACATTACAGGTGGTTCTCACCTCCAAGATCCAACACTGGGGATTGCAGAAGTCATTTGCTCAAGGAATAAGGACCACACAAGCTTTAATTTCTTTAATAAGCAGCAGGTCAATTACTGTGCACTTCAGACTTTTGACCTTCTGAGTCTTTCACACATAAAGCATGACCACCTTTTATACCCTTAAAAATGAGGAACATGCAGACAGCACTTTGGGCTCAACTCGCCCTCACAAAAAAAAGAAACGCACCATAACCTCCATATCCTACAGCAAGCTTGAAAAGCATAATTAGAATCATAGAATGGTTTGGGTTGGAAGGGACCTTAAAGACCACCTAGTTCCAACCCCCTTGTCATGGCCAGGGACATCTTTCACTAGACCAGGTTGCTCAAAGCCACATCCAGCCTGGCCTTGAAGACAGACAGGGATGGGGCATCCACAACATCTCTGGGCAACCTGTTCCAGTGCCTCACCACCCTCTCCGGGAAGAACTTCTTCCTGACACCTAATCTAAACCTCCCCACTTTCAATTTAAACCCGTTCCCCCTTGTCCTGTCACTACCGGCCCTTGTAAAGAGTCCCCTCCCAGCTTCCTTGTAGGCCACTTTCAGGTACTGGAAGGCTGCAAAAAGGTCTCCCCGGAGCCTTCTCTTCTCCAGGCTGAACAAGCCCAGTTCTCGCAGCCTTTCATCATAGGAGAGGTGCTTCAGCCCTCTGATCATCTTTGTGGCCTCCTCTGGACTCGTTCCAACCAGTCTATATCCTTCCAATGCTGAGGGCCCCACAGCTGGATGCAGCACTCCAGGTGGGGGCTGAAAAGAGCGGAGGAGAGGGGCAGAATCCCCTCCCTCAACCTGCTGGCCACACTTCTCCTGAGGCAGCCCAGAATACAGTTGGCTTTCTGTGCTGCCAGCGCACACTGCCGGCTCATGTTCAGCTTTTCATGCTTGCTCAAAAACTGAAAATTAGGTCAGCTAACCTCCTTTTTAAAAACCAAACTCTTCAGGTTTGAGGGTGGTTATGCTATGAAGAATAGGTATGTAAAAACATACCTATTTTGACACAGATTTGCCCAGCCTTCCTTCCACTCTGGTCTAAGGATGTCTCACTTCAGTGACCAAAAAAATCCCCCAAACACCACACATCTCCTCCTTCCAAAGTACAAGAAGCAAGCTACCTGATTTCTGCTAACACCACTGAGGGAGTGCCGTTATGAGTCACCAGACTGAATGAAACCAAATAGGAGGGGTTATGTCGGGCTTAACCCCATGAGTAGCAGCAGATCACAGCACTGTTTCCATAGCCCCAGCTGCACCTGCACACACATGAGTAAACTCGCTCCAACAACTATTGGGAAACCAACTACCAGAAGAGCCATAGCTAAGAATCACTTTTTCAGATAAAGGTTAAACCTTTCCTGCATAGACACAGAGAAAACTAAGTACACCATTGTTAACCAGTGCTTCACATCCCTAAATTCTGAACAGTGTGACTTCAGAGATATTAATCAACAAAACAAAGAGGTCGCAGCTAACGACTGAACAGAGGCAGAACTTGATGACAGATGGATGAATATCACTTTGTGGGGAGATCTCATTATCCCAGGAGTCAGCTTAACAATTTGTACCAAAAAAAAAAAAAAATCCAGAAAATAGATGCTTTCTGTAACAAAAACTGAGTTAGGTGGCTGGTTTGATTTCTTTTTTTAACCATTCCAGTTTTAATAAAACCACAGAACATCGAGACATCTTCTCCTTCCAAATTAGTCACCAGTAGTTATGTTTTCCTGGGACTCAAAGAAATCAAGGTACCTACTTTTTTTTTTTTTTTACTATTGCTCAAAAATTTGGATTTTGTTCTCATGTAATCCAGGTGAAGTGTCCTTACTACCAAACGACCGGTTGTTTCATGATAGCTGTCAACGGACTACGTCTGCTCTGATAAAATAACATGGTGTGGGAGCATGAACTTTAGGCTCCCACATAGTAAGCAGGTGTGCTGGAAGAGTTGGGGAATCTTCTCGGAGACATCAGGGATGCTGTTTCACTTGCAGAAAAAGTGAAAACAGATTTTCTAAGTTTTCCAGGACCAGAAACGCTCCCCTACTCCTGTTTGGGAAATACAGATCCAGGAGAATGCAGTCCACAGGCCAAATCTCTTAAATCTAAAACTGAGGATTCTCTGAATCAAGCTGAAGTTGTTGTCCCTCTCTTCTCCAAAATAGAGCAGTAAAAGAAACCCAGGATCAGGGAGCTTTTTAAATTTTAATTATTCTGCTGACCCTCTTTGCTGCCATAAAATACACCTCCAGTACACCGCTCAAAAGCCCACGCTAGAAACAAAGGCAAATTTAATACGCTCGTGAACAGTTTCCCCTCACAGAAGTGTCCTAAATCGTAAACTACCAGAATTTCCTTCTGATCCTCATGTCCATATATCTGAGCACTGGGGTTCGTCAGACAATTGTCAAGTGGACTCTAAGTAACTTAAATCACTTCCTCATACTTGAAGCATCCACAAAACCTCTGATCTGCACTTCATTTTTGCCAGTACTGCAATTCCTCTATATTGAGACTTTAATCCAAACAATTTAGACAATTACATTCTGTTAGTACGAAAATACTCACAAAAATAAACATTCATTATAACCCAAGAAGATAACAACAAAAAAACATTAAGCAGACACAGCACACAAATATTCAGTGATCGTTAAAACTTGTGCGTAGCAAAGAATACTACTAACAAAATAACTGAAACGCAAAGAGTATTTAGAAAACAGCATGCCTTTTGCGTGAACTTCCCTTGTTACCGAGCTTTATATTACTATGCGCTCTCACTTCCTGGTTTGTCAGAAACCACACTGTTTTAAAGTCAAAGGTGCTCACTAAAAGGAAGAAGGAAGAACCATGAGTACTTTAGAGATGTTTTGAGACCTCTGAAAAGTGCTAGAGTATCTTTGTAAACTTAAGGACAGTTTTTTCTCCTAATGGTTGGTCTCTTCCAGCAAGCAAACATTAATAACTACCCTAGTTCTTTTAAATGCGGCCCAAGAAGTTCAACAGTATATGTTTGCAGCTTTGACAGGAAAAGTGGTATCCTCAGTTTTTAGCAAGATCAGTCATGAAATATTAAATATTTCCATACTGTATTCAAAAAAAGCACCTACCTAATTCATTAATAAAAAAGGACAGTGAATCATAGAATCATAGAATCACTGGGTTGGAAAAGCCCTTAGAGATCATCCAGTCCAACCGTATCTGTCCACCACTACACCATATCTCTCAGCACCTCATCCACCCGTCTCTTAAAACACATCCAGGGATGGTGACTCCACCACCTCCCTGGGCAGCCTGTTCCAGTGTGTGATAACCCTTTCGGTGAAGAACTTCTTCCTTACGTCACGTTCTAACTGAAGCCACGTTCTAACTCTTCCCAAGAAGCAGAGGAAGTAAAGCATGTGAACGAACTGCTCCCTGACTCCCCCCATCCCTGCAGAGAGAACACGAAAGTTCTGCGTACTTCCAAAGCAAATGAGAAGCAAAATGGGACATAAACATCTTCATGGAAAAAGTTGTTTTGGCTTAAAACAACAACGTGTGTGATTTGATGACAGTTTGAGTTACTAAATCAACATTTAACTCTCTTGTTGAGTACACCTGTTGAACATTTAAACATTATACTTCTCAGTTCTAAATAAAGCAACAATTTATCTGAGGCAAACTAAGCAGGATGTTGTTTAGAGTTGTTTCAAGCCTAAATGTATATAGAGAGGCTCATACGCTTGACTTTCAGCTTTTGTGATCTGTAAGCAAGAACCACCGAGCTGAAATCTGTAAGCATGTAAAAAACAAAAAATCAGAAAAATAACATCAGAAAAGCATGGCATTCTTCTGCACACATACACTGCTCTTTTCTCTCATGCCCAAAAAACACAATCAACTTACCAGATTAAAGACAGTTTCGACTATGTCTCTGTTGGACACTTCACCAACTTCCACCAGTCCTGTCAGCACAGCAAATTTCATCTTGATGCCTCGGATGGGGACTCCTGGATTCAAAGGCTGCAGCACACTTCCCCCTTCAGCAGCATTTCCTTCTTTTCCCGCTCCTCCTCCACTACCTCCTCCTCCTCCTCCATCATCACCTGTTGGCTGAACAACTTGTTTGTCTTCGCTCGCCATGGCTCGTTCACTTCGGGTTACGACTCGAAACGCCAGCGCCAGGCTCGCCGCTCCGGGAAGAAGGTAACGGGCGGCCCGCTGCCCCGCTTCAGCTCCGGCTCCGGGAGGAAACCCGCGCCCGGCGGGGAGGGGAGGGAGGCAGGGCGGGCGGGAGGACGCGCCCTCGGCGTCCCAGCTCTCCCC